AACATAGTTTATGGGTTTGGAGACTTGCATGAAAATATTTTATCCCCCCCCAAACGTTCCTGCGGTTTTGAAATTCATCCTACAGAAGAAACCATAAAACTCTAGAGGAGTAGCTGAGCAGGCACCAGGACTGTCATTGACACGGGTATGACATCTCCCAACAGTGACGAGTTGACTCCCTTGTAACATAGTAGTTGTCTGCTCTGTGTCCGTGTGTTGAGGAGGCCTGCTAAGTCCCTTCTCTCGTGATTCTTAGGACTGTCCCTCAGGAGCTTAGCTGGATCTCGGGGGGAGTAGGGAGGCCGCCATCCTCATAGGCAGAACCGGATTTCCACGTACTGCTCCCCTGGGATCAGGAGCACCCACTTACTGTATTCTGTCTCCATTGTTATATGCCATAGTATAATGAGACGATATCAACAGTAAACATGTAATGACAGTACATATTAACATTCTCGTAGGAGTGGGTAGAGAAGCCGACGCCTCATTTCTACAGTTTGTCATTAGCTATCATCATCTAACTTTTCAGTGTATCCATACAGAAATAAAGCAGCATAATCAATAACTTGCTTCCTGTCTTTTCATTCTGCCGGGTGGAATTGCTAGAGGGTGATACTCCTGATCCGGAAACTGGAATCACTTCTGTTCTGTCCTTCAAGGACATACTCAGTTCATGCAGTTGCGGGAAACATGGGAATTAGAAACAGAAAACAAACCTAGAACAGCACTTGGATCCGGTTAAAAACAACGACAGAAACCCCCTCTGACCCAAACTAGCGTTTCCCAGATGTTCACATCCCTTAAAAAGAGTAAATTGACTTTCTTTGGCCAGGGAGGTTGGGGCGGGGAGGGAATCGCAGCTGAAGCGTGTCATCAGGAAGTCATGACGGTCCCTCTTTTCTTGGCTGCCCTTTCCCTGTGCGCTCTGGAGCCCCGGATCCACGTCGAACACTGCCATGTCCTCAACTGCCACTCCCTCCACCGTCGGGCCTTCGGGACAGCCCTGATCCCCTTGTGGATGGTGCTTCCTTGGAGGGCCCAGATGAGGAGCCTGTTAGGGGTCAGGGGCACAGGGACAATGTAGGCAGAGGTAGAGGTTGCAGCTTCTAGATCATTGCCACACACCTCTGAGGCTCATGCTCTCGGGCCATCCACACTGCCCACACCCACGTGGTCGTTTCAGGTGTCTGCAGCAGGCCATTAGGGCACCTGGTCAAACAACATGTCAGCTGAAGGCCGAGTTGGGAGGAGAGGGTGTTAGTCTTCGATGAGACTCAGGCCCAGCGTAGGAAAAGCGAAGAGCGGGACCCCTTTGGTGCTAACATTTGCCATGTCGGAAGGGAGTCAAAACCTGTCCGCGAGAAGGCGTGAGCGTTTTTATGAATGGGGAACATCCCCTTGTGTGTGTGTCTGGCCCTAGAGGAGTTAGCAGTTAAAACCGTTAAACAATGAGAAGAGTCTCTCTGGTCATCTTCGGGGCCCCCAAGGAAGTGGATGGGGTGGGGATTGAGATGGCGCCCCTTCACTTCCCGAGGGAGCAGGCTGGGTTACCAAGACTGCGGTTGGGGTCGAGGGGCAGAGCCCAGAGGGGATGAGCCTGGGATGGAGAGGGGGGACCCCGCCTTCCCGCGGGCCTCCGTTGCTTCTCTCAGGACTCCTCCCCAGGGAAAGACTGTGACACACCTCCGGTGCCCTCCACGTCGGCAAACCCTGGACTCTCTCAGCATCCGGACTCACCTCTCTCCCCACGTGCTCCTGCCCTGCCCAGTCCTCCCACTGATTCTCACCTTGCTAGTTCTTTGCCCCTCAGTCCACTGACTGCTCCAATTTCTCCTCTCAGCCCCTTCCCGCCCTAACTTCCCTCCTTGCTTGCCCTGGATTCTCTGCCCTAGCACGTCAACCCTTCTTGTCCCCCCTCGGGCCTCTGACGCTTTTGCCTTCCTATCCCACCTGGCCTGCAAAACCCCAGCCCACGACAGGGGCAAAGAGCTCTGCTGAGAAAAAGCCACGCAACTATAGACCACAGCCGCCAGCACCGTGTGAACTCCTGCCAGGGCCTCAACTCTGCCTAAAGTGCCCTGGATCACCACTCCACCACTTCCTCGATATTCCCCGAAGACTGCCTCCTCCGCTTCCTCACCCAGGAAACGGGCCCATCAGGGGCCAGCCTCTAGCTATGGCTTGCCACACGAGGCCTGCCCTGAACACTTAGGCATCTTGAGAAGCAGGCACATTATACACGTAATATCTAATCCTCGCAGCCAACACTGGCGGCATCATCCCCATTTTCCAGATGAGGAAACTGAAGTTCGGAGAGGTTAAAGGTCACACAGCTCATGACAAATCACCACCCTGGGCACACATCTAGCCTATCATTTATGACATCACATTGCCATAGAAACGGTGAGCCCCTTAGGGCAGGGACAGTGTCTGACACATCACAATGAGGAAATTATCATGCACAGTGTTTAGTACTTAATTTTTTTTTAATTGCCACCTGAGCTAAGATCTATTGCCAATCTTTTTTTTTCCCTTCTCCCCAAACCCCCCAGTACATAGTTGTATATTCTAGTTGCGAGTGCCTCTGGTTGTGCTATGTGGGACGCCACCTCAGCATGGCCTGACGAGTGATGCCATGTCCGAACTGGCGAAACCCTGGGCCGCCAAAGCGGAGTGCACAAACTAACCACTCGGCCACGGGGCCAGCCCCTCAGTACTTAAAGAGTAACAACCATAAGACTCCGGAGGAAGGAGGAGAAATTCCTAGTTACTGAATTTTCAGCAGAGAACCTTTTTCTCCCTCATAATTAAGGGGATCAGCTTATCAAGAACATGCCTGGGGCCGGCCCCGTGGCCTAGTGGTTAAGTTCGCGTGCTCCGCTGCAGCGGCCCAGGGTTTCGTTGGTTCGAATTCTGGGTGCAGACATGGCCCTGCTCATCAAACCACGCTGAGGCAGCGTCCCACATGCCACAACTAGAAGGACCCACAATGAAGAATATACAACTGTGTACCTGGGGGCTTTGGGGAGAAAAAGAAAAAAATAAAATCTTTTAAAAAAAAAAAAAAGAACATGCCTATTTGGGCTTAATAGGGTAGCTTCTGGAGCCGGACTGCCTGGCTCCAAATCCTGGCTGCTTTGGCACTTTCGAGTTATGAGAATTTGGGCAAATTACCTACCCTCTCTGAGCTTGTTTCCTCGCCTGTGAAATGAGACAGATTTCCTACCCTACAGAATCACATGCAGATTACATGATACTACAGGTGCTTAGCAGGGCCACTGACACCCAATACAAGTGCCCAACAAATGGCAGCAATTACTCTTATCTCCAGCACCAAAGGCGGTCTATTAGCTACCACGCCACAAGCCACTGTCCCCAGTCCCGGAGCAGTATGGAGTGTTGCCTTTAGAATCAGACAGACTTGCCTCTTTCTGCGCGACCCTGAACGAATGCCAAGCTCCACAAATCTGTGTCCTCCCAGGTCAAAATGAATCCCCACACCTCACAGGGTTGTCATGAGGGTTTAGAGCGATGCCACTAGTACCTGTCGTACGGTACATGTACTGTAACTACAGTTATTACAAAACAGTTGGGGAAATGAGGAGACACACCCATCTGGAAACACTGGAGCTGGATTGGCGGGGAGAGCGAGGGCAAGGCGGCCTTTCTGGGGCCTGCTTCAACCAACCAGGCCTACGGGGTGCGGAGGGCACTGTGGCTGTCAAAAGGCCTCATTCCACTCTCGGTGTGCGAGATGACACAGGTGTAGGCAAAGTGCTCTTGTGCAGAATCCACTGACAGAGGCCAGGGACCAGTTTCTCTGGGGAGAAGGCACCAAGAGGCTATCCAGAGAGGAAGGGAAATTGAGGCCACTGATGTGTCCCCTAACAGGTTCAAGGGTACCAGCCCAGGCAGGAGGGGGAGGCTAGATCAGTGTCCATCACTTTGGAGCTGTAAACAGGGTGCTTTGTTTCAGGCTGCGTGCACACCAGGGAATTTCCGGCTCAACAGCTCCAATGGCTGCACCAACAGTACGTACGGAATGCTAAGTGGAGAATGGCTGCCGCCGTTCTCATAAGCACCAGACCCCAAAGACTGGTGGTAAACGGGGAACTTGCCTTACCAAAACCCAAACCTAGTGCAGTATGTCATGTTGCAAGACTGGAAACTAAGCATTTATGGGCAGGTCAGAACATCTATCTTGCCTCGCACAGCAAGTGATGCCGTGAAGAGATGTGTAACAGAGCCCGACTCCTGCCTGAGCACACACTCAGACTTTAAAAAGCAAATGTGTTTTCCTCATCCTGGGCAAGCACCCCATGTGCTTTTTTTTAAGATTTTATTTTTCCTTTTTCTCCCCAATGCCCCCTGGTACATAGTTGTATATTCTTAGTTGTGGGTCCTTCTAGTTGTAGCATTTGGGACGCTGCCCCAGCATGGCCCGATGAGCGGTGCCATGTCCGCGCCCAGGATCTAAACAGGAAAACCCTGGGCCACCAAAATGGAGCGTGCGAACCCAACCACTCAGCCACGGGGCCGGCCCCCCAATGTGAGGTTTAAAGGGGCTGGTGGGAGGGGGTAGGGAATCGGGAGTGACTGCTTAAAGGCTAAGGGGTTTCTTCTTCGGGTGATGAAAGTGTTCCGGAACTAGACACCATTGTCAATGTACTAAATGCCACTGAGTGGTGACTTACGTTCTGTGCGTTTTACCACAGTAAAGACACTTTCATCACTGGCCTCAAATGTAAGTCAGAGCTGTCAGAGGGAAGAGTAAAAAGCATTGAAAGAAGTGCAGGAAGATGACTAGAGTATGAAACTTCTCATCTTAATGTCCCACAAGGGGAACTCTGCCAAAGCACCAACTAGCAGAAGACGGCCATCAGAGGATTTGATGACTATTTACTGAACTTGCCAGCTGCCTGTGTTCACAGCTTGGTTAACAATTGGTGTCAGCTTTTATACCACCATCAGTACATGTTTTATTATAATGAGAAGAAAACTTGCTTTATCTGCAAAGTTTATTTGATAGAGCACACGTTTATAAGGAAGTGTAACAGAGTGTTTCAACATGTGACATTTGTGCAGAAAAATACCAGAAACTCACGTTAGGATGATTGTCTCTGCTGTCTATATAAAAGACCTAGTGTATAAAAATAGTTTCAAAATCTAAGGCACCAAGCTCTAATCTATAACAAAGGTACAGTACTCTGAATAGCAAAGAACTAGAGAAATCAGAAAGAATAATTCCTTCCTTTTAGTAACCCAAGACTGGTGGCTAGAAAGGAACACGGCCCTGCTTCAAATTGTTTGTGGTTCACCAGGAAACTTATTACCATTAGGACAACTAATTTGCATTCAAGTTATAGTCAATGGTTTAAGCAGGATTCGATGGAGTTCAGGAAACATATATCCTGTGTGCACACGTGTGTGTATATGTGTCTGTGTGTACAAGTGTCCATCTGTCATGGGGACTGAAGAATTACACTGCTCCTGTCCTCACTTGCAGCCAGTGGCTAGAGAAAGGCAAGCAAATTTGGGGGCCATATCCCAAGGCTGAGTGTACACTGAAGAGCAGGACTGGAGCGCACAAGCAGAAAAAGATACACAGTAAACGTTTCGCGGAATCAAACTTGGCCCACCAGACAGCAGCCAAATACGGCTTTAGGCACACAATAAAAAGAACCCATGTTTTGGTAAATAGACCCCAATGTGTACTTCGAAAGGAAACACTGACCAGGGCACGAAAGCAGCTCAGTGTTCCAAGATCATGCTTTCTAGGACGCCCAGCATCGGGGGCATCAGCACCTGCACACTTGGCTGGCAGGCGACGGCAATAAAAAATATACATAATGGTAAAATGTGACTTCCTCTATTTTGCAATATACAAATACAGAAGTGTTTGTATACTAGAGACAATCGAACAGGGCTCTTCTGTGTAACCTGGAGTCCCTCACATAACCCATTATGTTCTCTCCAAGATCAAATGTGAGTTTTTAATTGCTAAATTAATGTCATTGTTAAACAGAATAAACACTAGTTTAAGATTTCAAATATGTACTGAAAGAAAAGTATTCCTTTGGTAGAGATTCTTTCAGAAACTTGTAAAGACACCCTTGATGCGCACTTGCACACGTGCTGGCAGGAAAACATACAAATGAGACAAGGGCGATTTTTATAGGAAAACAAAAGGGCCTCTTTACTCAGAACTGTTGCTTGTTGGCAGGAGTCAAGATGGTATAAGCATCTTCTGAGATACATTAAGGCGACTCTTTGATGTTTTCTCTTTTTTGATGGTCATTTTCTTTGCCAGGTTCAGAGCAGAGGTGGAAAAATTGGGGGAGGTGGGCCTGGAAGTTGAAATCCAGAGTGGAGGATGAAGTCTCTTCCAGGCGGCACGAGGTTTACTTATCTGAGCAGAGGGAAAAAGCAAAGAAAGATCAGTAGAGAAGATGCTGGTCTCACAGCAACTGGGCCCTGGCCTCCTTCAGGTCAGGCCCGGGACCCTCGCCAACCCCCCTGCAGTTGCTGACACATTGGTGCTCTTATAAATATTCCCCACATCCCCAACTCCAAATGGACCCAAGCTGCTGCTCAATTTCAAAGAGAGCTTCTCAAGGAAAGAAAAACAAAGGCCTTTTGCTTTTAGAAACACAGGTTGAGCGACTAGTTCCGAAGACCTCACCAGCCCTCTGCCCTAAATGATTACGTGCGGGCTGAAAAGCAGCCGGCAGATCAGGATCTCAGGAATCTGAGGCATCAGGGGTGTGAAAAGAACCTACTTTGTGTATCTGGCCGGAAATGCAGGACATACAAATTAGAATCAAGTCATTTACTCTCTCAAAACTAACTTAACGGAAGACTTCGAAATCAGCCTAGCCTTTGGAGCTACCACTGTCTTCTCCCTCGCCTCCAAAGCTACCCGGGGCCAAGATGGCCCTGGGACAACCACCAGGAGCAAGGGAGGGCTTAACGCCAACTGCCTCTCAAGCCAAGTGAAGATGGATGAGGCCTTACGTGATCGAGCAGAAACAGATTTGTTTCTTTTCTTGTCCTCTAAAGGCCTCTGGGCACTTGGGTGGAATGTTATGGAACCTTTCGGATGATGTCTTTGGTTCTCAGGGGGGCCCGTGGACATCAGCGGCTCTGTCATGCTTCTCCTATCCATCTTCTCAGAGATCCATTCCCGCGCCTGCAAATGGAAACTCCTGGAAGCTCCCATGGTGTTACTGGCTTCCTTTGTCTTTCCGCTTTTTGCTGCTCGGCTTGTCGTTCTTTTGGTGGACAGTCTGGAAAGAGATGTTTTGGTTAGAGTCCTGAATATCCCAAAACCAAGGCTTTGTCCTAAAAGAAACTTTATCCTTTAATTAACTTCTAAGAAGTGCGGCAGAAGTAAATGAACTTTCAGAATCACAGAATGGGAAGGCTGGAAGGGACCCTGGAGGTCACAGAGCACACTTCCTTCCCACTTGGGTCCACAAAGTCCTAGGGTTCCATGGCAACGCCAAGAGGGGCTAGGAGCAGTTAAGCGTGCAGGGCTCTGGGAACCCTACCCCTGCCTGAAGCTGACCCCAGACAGGCGAGCAAGGTGGAGTGACGACCACGGGGGGTGCTCCAGCTGCAATGCTCTTTCCACACCGTCACTGTGCCTCTCACTGGATTCTTGTTTTCATGGGCCTTGTAGGTTAATGTCTTTTCAGACCATGGCCCAAGGAGCCTTCTTTTCCAAGAATCTGTTCCTGTTCTTTCAAACTAATCTCTGATCCTCAGTTTCCCCATACGTAAAATGAGGACATTAACATCAAACTCAAGAGTGGCCATGAGAACGAAAACAGGTAACGTAAAATGCCTGGTACACAGCAGCCACTCAGCGTCCCCTTCTCCGGTTTATGAGACAACACTGACCAGCGTGAACAAAAGCACAGCTTGGAGTCACGTGTGTCTGGATTTGAATCTGGGCTCTGCCCTTTAACAGTCGACATTGGGCAAAATAAGGCCCACAACCGCTCCATGCCTCAGTTTCCTTGTCTATAAAGATAGGAATGCTGACCCGTACCCAGCAAGGCTGCCGTGGGGATTAGCTCGTTTCTGTAAGCCACTGCTCACTCACTGACCGTGCGTCCCTCTGAGAACGCCAGTCACACGCCCCCCCCCCACCCCCCCACCCCCCCGGCGGACTCGGCCGGGCTTGCCGAGGGCCTCACCTGCTCCCCTTGTCCTGACTCAATGGGTCTTTCATGCTTTTTTGTCTGAAGGTTTCCGTGTCGCCGTTAAAACATGCTTTTGTCTCTTTATGGACTTGGCCAGAAGTGGCATCTAAAAACACCAGCTTGGGAGTGTTCTTCACATTTTTAAAATGTGTTTTGAGTCTTCTGGATGCATCCATGCCATTGATAAAGGCTGGAAAAAAATGAGAAAAAGATTAAACCTGGACTTTCAACAACAAAGACAAGAAAAGCGGAGAAGGCTGTGGTGCTGTCGCCGACTCTTTCTGCCCTCGAAGCACGAAGGGTCCCCTTTCAGGAGCGCGTCCCCTGTCTTCTGCCAGGCAAGACTGCCAGGCCAGGGCAGGCCGGCGGCGTGCCCCTCACCCTGCTCCTGATTCCCCAGCTGCCAACACGGCCTCGCATTTTCGTCTTGCCTCTAAGGCTGCCTCCTGCCTTACCTGTTCCTCAGCAGCTGACGGCAGATGCACACCTACCCCACCCTCCTGCTAGGTTCTCCTGGCATTTTGACCAAACTTCTTTTCCTGTGACCAGCTTGTGGCAGTCTCACCATTTGCTCATATGTCTGTCTCCCCACGGGCTACAGTGACTCTAGGCAGAGAGCCACTGTCTCTCTCTATCTCCCAAGTACCGAGTGCCTGACGTGTGTGTCCAGTACCCGCTGGTGGGATAAATGGGGGACGAACAGTGTTTTCTCAAATGCCAATTCCTGCTGCCATACTGGCTCCTGCTCACAAGGGAATCAACAATACATTTTAGAGGGCACACACATCTTGACCTGATTTTAATTTTTCTCAATGCGGTGGAAAGCGGCATTCCACCTGTGGTCAATCTCGCATGCATTATGAGGCCCAGAGCTATGAGATGGCGAGGAAGCCTCACATTTGGCTAAGGGCTGCCAGCTATAGTCCATCAGCACAACCTGAAAGATAGTAACAGCAGCAGCACAGCAGCCAATAGTCACTGAGAGGTCACTATGTGTCAGGCACTATTCTAGTATTACACGGATTGTCTCATTGAAATCTCATGCCCACCCTAGGAGGAGGACATTAGCTTCCCCTTTCTCAGACAGGAACACAGAGCACAGAGAGATTAAGTAGCTTTCCCAAAGACATACAGTGTACAAGCAGAGAAGCTCCTGGGGGAACCCAGGCAGTGTGGCTCCTGAATCGTGACTAAATTGTGACAGCACTCAAAATGCAAGCAAACCTGATGGACGCATGTCATCGAAGGAGTCCTCATCACTTTCTGACTCCTCCTCATCATCTGCCTCGTCCTCATCATAAGTGTCATTGCCGGATGTGTCTGCAGCCTACGACAAAAAACGAAAGTCATGATTACACCTAATACTCAATCATCCTGACTTAGTTATTTCAAAGAAGACAGATTTCATGGCTGGACTGAAGGCTAATTTTCATCATTTCAATTAAAAGGTAAAAAATGTAACCTCTTTGGCCCCAAGAATGGGCACGGGACAGGACAAGTGGCCCCCGTTGGGTCTTTCAGCTAGGGAAAGACACTCAGGAATGAAAGACTTCCCTGAGTGGGAGCCAAGGGACAACAGCTTTGTTGGCACGCGGTCTCTGCCTGCTTGGAGTCCTAACTACTCCAAGGTGGGGCCGACAAGTGAAGAGCTAAAAAAGTTCTCGGCCACTGCTTGAGGTAAAACTCCTCAGGCCAGTGGGCTACAGGATCTCTGAGATTGGTGACTCCCAGCACTTTTCAGAAAGGACATTTCGAAATTTTCATAATGATACGAATGACCACTACTGGGCAAGTGTCAAGAGGCAAAACATCAGTTTTGTAGCACAGAGGGTAAAGAGTACAGAATCTGGAGAAAAATGGCCTAGGATCATGTGATCCATCCAAAGACAGGATGCTGGGGTAAGCAAATGCTTATGAGATAGACCCAAAAAGCACTAACCAGAAAGGAAAAAAAAGGGCTCATTTGAGTTCAGTAAAATGAACTTCTGTTCATCAAAAGACCTTAGGAGAGCATGACGCAAACCAGAGTGGGGGCCTACACCTGCAACGCACACATCCAGCAGGCTAGTAACCAGAACAGGCAGAAACTCCTCCAGCGCAAGAAGAAATAGGCGGGTGACCAGACACGTGGGCAAAGGACTCGAAGAGGTAATTCACCAAAGTGAACTTCCAAATGGCCAAGAAGCATATGAAAAGGCACCCAGCTCCAATAGTCACCAAACACACTGATAAATTTGACGATGTGAAAATTAAGGGCTTCTATGCAGCAAAGACAGTATTAAGACAAGCCAAGCCAGAAGCTGGGAGAGGGTCCCTGCCACACACATAAGCAAGCAAGCAAGCAGTAGCATCCAGAACGTTTACAGAACTACAAATCAGTGAGAAAAAGACAAAGCAGCCCAAAAGTTTTGGGCAAAAGATCTGAACAAGCATTTCACACATGAAAGCTAGCTAAAGATGTGAAAACGTGCTCAACCTTTTTAATAATCAGTGAAATGCCAAAGTGATACTTTATTTCATTACCACCAGACTGGCAAACATTAAAAAGCTGGCAAGAACGTGAAGCAACAGGCATTCTAGTCACTGCTCGTAGGAGCTTGGGGACTACCTTTGAGGCATTCGAATCTGTCTTTCTTGTCCGCTTCATAATTTCCTCAATTCTCTATTTAAAGGAAAATAAAAATTCAAATATGAAAACAGATTAGAAACAAAACAGTGGTCCTGAAGAAGTTGATTGTCTCCATTTTCCAGAAGAGGACAGTATCAGTGACTGCTCCAAAGCCACAGACTTAACCAACACAAGACCTGGGGGGTGGCAGTTGGGTTCTTCCTTCCAATCCTGGTTTCAGTCATCTAGAAAATGCCTTGAGGGGTGACAGGTGTACTTGTTATTGTAACACAGAAATCCAAATGACTTCTCACCCCTAATTTTGCAGACTTGGAAATTCATTATTTAGACAAAGCACGTATGATTGCAAACCAATTAGAACTTTTTAACAGAGTTTTAGTCTGAGCAGACCCTGACTGAAGCCGATGTTAATGAAAAGAATGCACCCCAATGATGTGATCCTGTCAGAGGTTTTGTTACTAGAAAGAGCACACGCAGGAGAGATAAGAGTTCTCTCTCCAGTGTTACACTTCTCTCCCTGAAGTGAAGAGAACGGCAGCTCTCTGGCCTCAGGATGAGCGATCTCCTGACCGAGGCCTTGCAGCACCTCAGCCTGGCCCGGCACTTCCCTTGCTCCCAGAAGAGTGAGGTCCTATCTTACAAACAGCCTGCAGCCCAGACTCTCAGAGGCGCCTGTGCCTTCCGCTTCTGCCCACTCAGGGGCTGCAATTCCCAGCTCAGCTCAGAGAAACTCTAACTTTCTCCAACCCCCACCATGACCCGAGTAGTTCTGCTGAAAGGGGCACTGTCCCAGAGGTTTGCTACATTGAGGCATCACTGTCATGGCCACCAGCAGTCCATGAGGGACAGGTATGATCAATCAGATGAGACCCTTCTAGGAAGGAGAGGTCAGATCCCTGGGTAAGGCAGAGAGTGTAGTGGGAAAACAACCAGGGGCCAGGGCATCACTTACTTGTGATTTTCAAAAACACGTTTGGAAACCACGTGCCCAACATTGTTTTACACAAAGAACCAAACCCCCCACAACAGAGAAAGTACCTTTTTCCTCTCTAATCTCTCCTGCATATTCTGCAACATAATTCTCTCGTGCTCCTTCTTGCGTCTGTCGGCCTCCTCCTGAGCTTTTACTTTGGCATCCCCTTTCTAGGAAATTTATATAAAAATATCATTTAATCGCAATGTATCTGAGTGACATTGGGGAGCATTAGTTTAAAAAGTTAAACAGTAAAACGATATCCAGCATCAAAGAATACAACCTTTCAATTGACAGTACCTATATATACAGCATTCATGGATTATCAGTTTTCGAAGCATTAGCTACAAAGTACAAAACGGCTATTACCTTGAGGACCTGGAAGGGATGTTATTAGCCCCCTCCAGGACCCCTGGGTTGTCATTATAGGGGTCATCAGACCACTACAGTTTCAAAGCATGTGTGTAGCTATCCATCAACATAGCAACAGGAGCCAAAAGTCTTACACTTCTCTAAAGCACCAAGGAGATTCTTAAAAGTATCCTCTCAAGGAATACAAATGCACGCAATCATTTATGTAACACATAACTGACACTAACAGTGGAATATAAATTAGGCTGTGTTAATAATTCAATTTGAGCCTAGCCTGAGCTCAGTTTGGGGATTTACTGACCCGGTGATTTGAATTTACACGGGCAAGACATTCTTATTGGTAAACCTGATACCTGACACTTGTAGAGGTATTCCTAATTTTTATCTTTTCTGTCGGGGGGTGTGTGGGGTGCAGTTGTGAATGTCACCACAGACTGCAGGATTGGGAAAACTCACATAGGACATTTGACCTGTGTGAGCAATTTGGATTTCCTGAAGCCAAGCTGCAATATTGCTTGCGCAGGCAAACTAAAGGGCTGCTAAGCTCTAACGTGCTGCCTTCTGCTTTTGCTTCACCTGGAGCACATTCTAGGATTTTGCCGAGGGGGACCGGCAACGGCTTTCAGCCGTACTGGGTACCAGCTAGACTGCAATGGAACACTGCAGCCGGAGAGGGCTGCATCTGCGCATCTTCGTGCTTGGAGAAACACATCTCTGCTTTGGGTTTCAAGTGCATTTTATAATCTGGTTCTCATCCCGAGAAAGTGCAGAGCCAGCAAACCTGCAACAGGCCCTCCTGCTCTCCTTGATCCTGACATCCTTTCTTCTTTATCTCTTTTTGTGGTTGCCCATCTTCTTCAGATTTTGAGAACTCCTCCTCTTGGTCTTCAACTGCTTTCTTCGCCAGGTCTTTCATCCTCCTAATGATGAAGAATATTTATATAAATCTTAGTGTGGGTCTTGGCCTCTACCATCCACAGCTCACAGTAGTATGTACATTTTTATAGTGAAACTGCTTGTGTAAACACAATTTATGTTTATACCAGACTCACTACATTTTCTGGGTTGTTACTACACAGGATTTGCACAATTTCACCCTTTTTAAATGGAGGAAACTAGCCTTTTGGATCGGAAAAACATTTCTATCAAGTAGTGTAGGCTACTTTGCATCTTAAAACACACACACACACACGAGAGATATTATCACTCCTTCTTAACTGTTTCAGACACATGGGACCCTGCAAAATGTCTCATTTACACGTGCTCACACCCAATCTCACACAGGCGTGTGAGAGGGGTAACTTAGTGGAGGCTCTGGTGGTACCCAGAAGAGGAAAGCCCAGGTGGCAGTGACCAGTACTCAGGGCTTTTAAAATTAGCTCTGTTTACATGAAACAATGAATAATAGTCTTCAAGTCATAGTTTTTAGCTATTCACAATATCCCCTTCTCCTTTCTCCCAAACCCATATAAAATATATGGAAAGCGTGCAATTATATTTCAAAAACACTTAATACTTAAAAACAGTCAGGACTGTAGTTACTCTTTGTAAGCAGTGGACAGGGGTTTACAGTACAGGGCCCCAAATCAAATAGGCCTCCAGGTCGAGGATCAAGAAACCTTTAGATTGAGTTAGAATGCACACAACTGTACGTGAGATTTGCTGCCCACGGGAAATCCTTTCAGCAGTGACCGATGAGATGCAGGCGTCACGAAGCTCAATGGAAAGCACCCCTAGTAAAACACGAGGCAGTCCACTTTCCAGGTTTATAAATTCGAAAGTTACAGAAACCTTCTGAAATACAGAAAGAGGCTGACACCAGTGAATGCCAATAGAAAGCATCTTGTGTGATCACTCAGGGGCTGCTGCCGAGGAGTGAAACCCTGACACGAGTCAGCGTCTCTGTGTGCATCTTTATAGCACACCTTACTGGCACACAACTCATGGAGACCAAAGAGGACGATACCATCAGCTACATGCCAGTGTCCCCTCCGCCTGAAATCCTTCCAACACATGCCCAGAAGGCAATGAGTCATCTTTGATTCACACTGAAGAAAAACTCAGTTACTCTTTGATAATTTATAGGATATCTAACATGACGGTCAATTTTGACTTGCAAAATCTGGGCCCCTATCAAGATTTATATTATAGAAAAGAGGATTTTGTGCTGACCTTTGTTCTATTTCTTTTCGTAGTCTTTCTTCTTCTTTTTTCCTTTGTTCACGAGCAAGGCGTCGTTTTTCTGCCAAGATCTTTGTTGCCTCCTCGGCATTCATAGTCACTGCTACACTTTTATTGCCAGATTCTAGTTTAAATTCAGACGTACAACAGTTATGAGGGACCTTCCTGCCTCTCAGTCCAACACAGAGGCACGAGACAACCAACAATATTAAAAAGCCCAACAGTATAGACAAGGTCTGAAATTTATACACAAGCAATCTATACATGATTATATAACAGATTTTGTTCAAAACCCCAACTGTCTCCCCAACAACAGAAGTAGCACTTTGTTTCTTTTTAACAACTACTTGTTCCAAAATGAAATAATGTACTCCAACTTTGGTTTAGCTGTTCTAAGGAACCTGAGTAAACTGACCCGATGAGAAAACAGATTAAGATGGTCTGAATACAGAAAAAGATCAGCTTATGCTTGGTCCAACTGAAGTATACAAATCTTAAAACTCAACCAAACAAAAAGAAATCCAACATACATTTTGAAATTTGTGCATCATTTTTACTAAATAATTACTGTTTAGCTAACCATTAATAATAGTATATTACTACATTTGGTTGATCATAAAGTGGCTAACTATAGATAACCAAAGAAACCAAGACTATCAGTAAAATAAGGTGAGCACGTGGAAGCATATTATTTTAGTCCATGTGACTAATTTCTGTATTTTTAAATAAACCACATAGGAAGATGAGGATTTTAAGACACCAGGAATGAATAATTTATAATAAAAAGATTATTTCTGTTACAAAGAATTCACTGTGGAATTCCTCTAAAAAGCAAAATTTTGTAGTATATTTAAAATTAAATAATGTCCATGGAGATTAAGAAGGCACGTGACAGGCAAAAGACCTATGCCGCTTTCAGGAATCCATGTACTGCCCGGACACACGTTATGGCCTATGTACAGAAACTGACTGACCACCCCCAGTGGAAACCTGCTCGGCCACAGAGGACTAGATGTGCTCTCTCCAAGGATGGAAAACAACTTAGGACCACTCATAGAACCAGCCGCAATGAGAGCTGGAAGCAACCGTAGGGGTCACCTAAGACGAATGCGTTCATCCAACCACTACTTTTATCATCAGTTCCAAAAATGAATTTCCAAAACTATGAGGGTAGGGGTGAGTAAGAAGCTCTGGCAAGGAAAAGTAAGCAACGTGCCCGTGATGGGTTAAGCTCTCTTCATCTAAAAGAAAGCTCACTCCCTAAAGTTCTCTGACTTGGGGAACAAAATGAAGTTGACCATTCCCAAGCTACCTTGAGATTTTCCGTGTTGCCAAAATAAACTTCTTAGTAAAGGAACTTACCTTCGGAGGCCACAGGCTTTTGACTCGCAGCCTCAGAGCTGTTAGTGGTTTTAGCAACTGCTCCTCTCTTCCTTCCCATGGTACTTGACGCATGTTGTACAAATAGGGGCGCCTGAACAGAAATTATTCTGTAGGAAGGAGAAGACTGTCCTGATTGTTTTGACGTGATAGGTGAAGGTGACGGGGGACGATTCTTTTGGACTTGCCTGTTGGGAAAAAGTAATAGTTAACGGGGAAAATCAATATGGTTTTGTAATAAATATGCGCTAATTAATTTTTAGTGTACCATTTCATAAAATATAAGGTCTTGATACTATAAGATAATGGTATTTTATAATAGACAAAGGTAAATCCATTTTTAAAGGGTTTTTTCTTTATATTGAATGTTACCGTGCATAATACATTATTTCACTTATGAAGCACTGACAGGAAATTTACCCTGGTAAAATAACTATCAGGAACAGTTGCAAAGAAGCGACTTACTTAGCACTGATGGGCGAGGGTGGATGCAATCCGCTTGCAGGAGATGACTGTCTATACGAAGCTATGTGCAACGATGGGCACTTCTCGGTAACAGAGTCTGAGGCCTGTTTGTCTATTTCCGGTTTCTGAACAGATCAACACAATCAGATATGAAATTACTAGCATTTACCTTACTGCAGCTGGCTTTTCTTTTTAAGAGAAAAATATTCTGAATAAAGTACAATTGTAGCACCTTAAACTCCCAATTTCCCTTTCATGCAGGAGAATTAGGTACAGAGAGACATTCTTCCAGACTAATAATTCATATCATACAATTCAAGAAAGTCATGGGAAATAATTAACTTAAAAAAAAGCTTTTAATTCAAAACCTAATTCTATTTCTAAATCCTAACTAACGGTATACAATAGTTCTCAAAAACTTTTTCTTCAGAATTTAGAAACATAGTTCATATAAACTGTTACATTTTCTCCCTTCTATTAAAAATTAATATTTCAGCTTTGGGGCGGAAACTCTGGGACAACAAATAGCAGAGAATTTTAAATACTTAAAGTGAGCTATCCTATTTTATTAATTTTCTTACAGAATGCTATAAATAATGATTAGTCGCGCCAGCCCCAGGGCCAAATGCTTAAGCTCACGCGCTCCACTTTGGCAGCCTGGGGTTCACTGGTTCGCATCCTGGGCGTGGACCTACACATTGCTTATCAAGCCTTGCTGTGGTGGCGTCCTACATAGCAGAACTGGAATCACTTACAACTAGAATATACAACTATGTACTGGGGCTTCGGAGAGAAAAAAAAAAAAGAAGATTGGCAACAGATGTTAGCTCGGGGCTGATCTTCCTCACCAAAAAAGCATAAAAAAAATAAAAAGAAGTTGCTTATATTGTGAAATCTGCCTATCATAATTTATACAACTAAATACAGACTTGAATAGAAAATCTGTCAATAAAAGGCACTTGACAAACCTGTGGAGAGCCTCTCACTTCCACTTTGCAAGAAGTTTCCTCGCTCCCCTCAGGGGATGCCTCAGGGGGCGCTTCCACACTCGCCTTGGGGAAGGCTGCCACACTATCCTCAGGGGACGCCCCCACGCTCGCCTCAGATGACGCTTCCACGCTCGCCTTGGGGAGGGCTTCCACGCTCGCCTTGGGGAGGGCTTCCACGCTCGCCTTGGGGGACGCTTCCACGCTCGCCTCAGATGACATCTCCATGCTCGCCTCGAGGGACGAGTCCATGCTCACCTCAGGGGATGGATTCACGCTCGCCTCAAGGGATGAATCCACACTCAACTCAGGTGATTCCACGCTCGCTTTGGGTGATTCCACACTCACTTTGGGTGATTCCATGCTCTCAGGGGCCACTTCCACACTGGCCTCGGGGGCCGCTTCCACACTTGCCTCTGGAGCTGCTTCCACACTTGCCTGGAGGGGTGATTCACCCCTTGCCTCGGCAGTTGCTTCCGTGCTCTCCTTGGGGGGAGCTTCAACGCTCGTCTCGGGGGGCGTCTCCCCACTCGCCTTAGGGGCCGCTTCCATGTTTGCCCCAGGAGGTGCTTCCAGGCTCACCTCAGAGGGTGTTTCTACTTTCTGCTGAGGAAGCACTGCCCATGTTGACTTGCGAAGCACTCTGGTCTTCCTCAATTCATCACTGCCATGGTTATGCAAGGGCACATTTACATACTGGATCAAAGTACTGTGGATGCCTGTGAGTAAATGAGGACAGAGAGTAAAATTCCATACAGTCAGAAAGCAGACAAGACAGAAACGTACCATGTATAAGAACAGGAAGAGAAGAGAGATTATTAGGAAATCACAGGGATTACACACAACACAGAAGTGTTTAGTGAACTGAATCAGACAGAGGACAGAAGCATCCCAAAGCTGGTATTCAAAAGCACCACCACCAACTGGGAGGCGTTGTGAAGGCAACAGTCCACTACAGATAAAAATAAGATGCTTCTCCAAAGTTGATGTTTGCAATCAGCCATTTCTATTTTAATCACACTATAGTTCAGAATGATTTTTATGAAAAATTACAAGATATTTAACACTTTTTGAAAGTAATCTAAACAACTTCATGAAGGCCAGAGATTTTATCATTATAGATGATTACAGAAGACACTCTACATGATTGCTTTAGAATACAATGTAAGAGCGAGCATCTTCTCACCCATACTAAAAATTGCAATATTAATCAGAATGAGCTGGATCTCCAAAGTTTCTTCCAGTTTTAACAATCCGAATATTGTTGCCTGATAAATGGACAAAAATGATAATATTCAGTACCAGCTAAGATGGAAGAAAGAGCTAATACCAGTGTTGGGAACCAGGCAACCTCATACGCTGCTGGGGGGAGTGTGGATTTATACATGCTTCCTGGGGGGCATTTGGGCAATAATGCATTAAAAGCCATTTTAAAAAGTACATACTCTTTGTTTCAACAATCTCACTTCTAGGTTTACCCTTGGGGAAAAATGAGATAAATAAATGAAAATGTATGTACAAGGTTACTTATTACAGCACTGTTTAAAATATTGAAACAATTGAAAATTTAATTCAAATATTCAACAGTAAATTTGGACTACACTAAGGCAGTCATTAAGAGAAAGAATATGTAATTTTGGGGCATAGAAAATGGTATATATTGAATTTAAACAAAAGCAGGTTTTGACCCCATTTTGTGAAAAAAGTATATAAACACAAAGAGAAATATTCAGTTATTAGTGAGTATTGGGATAATAGGAGATTATATTTAAAATGTTTTACACTAAATATTTATTGCTTGTATAATAAAGTAAACATTTTTAAAAAGGTAACTGGTGGTGGCTTTCTTAAGACTTGGTAAATTTATCTGTCACCTCATCTTTAAATATGAGTGGTAAATTTTTACATGATCTCATCAAATAACTAAAATAGAACAAATTACCAAAGATTGACTACCTATGGATAAAAAAATCTGACTAAATTAAATGTTATTTTGTAGTCCCTTGCTTTTGGTGGAGAAAGCATTTTACTTACATATCTGCATGTGCCTCAACAGTCATTATTTCACACCAACAATTTGTGCTACAAGAAATATATTAAGTATAATAACTACATTTCCATTACTTATAGAAATTTCTGACAGAATATTGAGTTCTTTGAAGGGAGTAATATATTAAGCTAAAATGAAAGTAATTAGAAATATCTTACAATAGATTAGGGGGAGACTGGCAGAAAATAATCTGACATACATATAAGTGGGTATAAACAAAGTCAGGAATTTGAACCAAAAAAAGTAAGGCTGCCCATGAGAAAGTCTGTGAGAGCATTTCAATTTATTTTACTAATTATATGACTATTGACAGAAAAACAAGTCAAGGGGGTAGATATATTCTGGAAAGGAAAAAGTGGAGAGAAAAAGAGAAAAAAAATGATGGGAACAATGCATTATTAGAGCTCTCCATTACTGATGACTTCTTACTGTCCCCAGGCGTGTCTAACAGTCTATAACCCTGAAGATTTGCTTTACTTTACTAACAATCTTTGCATTCTTAATTAAAAGCCTAAGAGCGGTTCAGTGTTATCCTTCCATATTTTAGGGAAAAAAGGAGGGTGCAGTAGGAAGCTTTCTCCCTAATCATTGAGGTTTTTCTATATTCTTAAAATCCAGTACTTTTTACAGTACTGTGCCACATTTTAGCACAGGTCAAGAAATCCACAGAGCTTTAAAATTCAACAACAGCCATTATTACCTCCCTTATCCTATAAATTACCTATTACCAGATAACTACTCTACCATGCTGGAAGTTATTAAATATACAACATAAAATGTTGGGTGGAATCACTCATTTGGAAACTATTGATTCGAATTCTTTTTACGCCTTACCACAATAAATTAAGTGATGCAATCTACTTTTTAAGTGCAAACACTAGCCCTTCCAGGTTTTCTACCCTATGCCTGTTACCTGGAGTATCTCTTCCAGGGACTGATAATGAAGCAGCACTTCTGCTCCTGGCTATTGAAGCTTTTGTCGGCGCAAGCAGGCGAGTGATTAAATTATTCTCCCGAACATTGGTGTACAGTTGACGAGCTAAATAACAAGAACAAACAAAAAGGATTCAATTTGAAGTCTCACAAATAAACTCAAAGCAAGAAAGAGCAATGTGAACTGCTGCAAATAATTCTCCTAGCCTAAAAGTAGAGGCAATGAAACCAACACACACTTAATAGGACTGAACACTGCCACCTGATGGAACGGCACCGTCAGGGAAGAGAGGAGCTGAACAAAGGGGCGACGACTCCAGCATCCCAAATAATCCCAGTGAAGGAGTCTAGGCGATACACTTAACAGAACCACACCCAATGTATGGAGACTCTGCGGAGGAACTCTCATATGGAGAAAAAGCTGCACATGACAAAACAACTTTGACATGGATTCCTACAGATATCTGCCACTGACAGTCGTACTGGTCAAGGCCATTGCCAAAAGCTGCAAGGGACTGACTGAATTCTTTTGTTCAAAGTGAATCTTGTTATAAATATCTTGCTCCAGGGGCCGGCCCCACAGCATGGTTAAGTTTGGTGTGCTCTGTTTCAGCGGCCCGGGTTCACAGGTTTGGATACTGGGTGTGGACCTACACTCATCAAGCCATGCTGTGGCGGCAACCCACATACAAAATGGAGGCAGACTGGCACAGACGCTGGCTCTGTGACAATCTTCCTCAAGCAAAAAAGAGGAAGATTGGCAACAGACGTTAGCTCAGAGTGAATCTTCCTCAACAACAAAAAAATATATAGTTATATCCAAAGTACACAAAATTTGAATATATTAAAAAATATCTTGCTCCAATAAATTTTTATGTTCAGAAAGCTCCCTGTGACAATGGCATCTGTTATAATAGGATTTGACATGAATCAATTAAGTGGAGAATCTTCTGTAAATGAATGGTTCAGTATGAAACAAAAAGCAACAATCACGTTTGACAGGGAAGAGTTAGGTGTGAAGGTGTTACAAACTACTTTAAAGTACTCTGGTGATAATTATGAAATTTGGCATGCAATAATCAGCAGGGAAAATATGCACAAGGGAGAGATGTAGGTAACACTATGAAGCAACAGAGCAAAGCTTCAAAGCTCAAAATGTGGCCAGTAATTTAGAACTTCTAAACGCAAACTGATGCAACATTTGAAGGGCATCGAGCCCTCCAGTACAAATCTACACCAACATTCTGTGATCTAGTTGCTCAGTTTCATTACAGACTCCTTCCTTGCTCAGATGATGGCACAACGATCTATTTCATTTAAAGACAGACTCTTCTGGCTTCAGCCAAATAAGCATGGCACCAAAGTACATTTTTTAGTTAAACGGGATTATTTTGGCTTCCAATTTTAGGAATGACTTTTCAAGCAACTGAATGTCAACATAAATACATCTCTTTCAAACCACTATTTAAGATTGGTACTCAGAAATAACTAACCAACTGGTTTTTCTTCTACTTGTTCTGTTTCCGTAGATGAATTTAGTTTGCTATATCTTCTATTCAAAGACGAGCTTCTTCTCTTTTCTGTTTTTTCTGGAGATCAAGGGCAAAGAAATATTTTTTACAAACTGTTTAAATATATTATTTCAGGAGTAAGCCACTCCTTTTTACAAACATTTTTTAATCTTCTCTACTCTTGCTTGTAAGAATTTATTTACATTTCAAATATTATATAGAGATTCCAAGTCCCCAAACTTAAAAACTAGTTCACTCTTTAAATAAGTTATCTGAAATGAAATAAAATTATTTAGAATACGGTAAAAACTAAGAGGAAAAATGTCTGATACTATCTGACAACACCCAAGTTCCCAAATTAGAAATATACAACTTTTGATCCATGACATCGATTACTAAAGTGATTTATACTTTAGTTGTCACTAGTATTTTTTAAACAAAAATGGTCATTAACATTTGGTATAGATGTCACAATTTTAGCAACTCAAACTATTCATAAGGGAAAATAATCTGTTTTCTGTAGACACTTTTCCATTTCACTGATTCAGAATACTGAGGAATGTCTGTTTAAAAAATAACTTCTCCTCCGGGCATCTGTAAATTAAAGTACATATGGACAACACAGCATCATTTGAAAATTCTCAAATTGCTAATGTAATTGAGCAGCATGAACCACAGAGGTGTATTCAATTCAATCACGTGATTCTATCCCATATCCTTTATTATCGTAACTGCAAGAAATGACAAAATAGTGTGAGTGGTTATTATGAGTCAGCAATGAGCAGAAGAATAATAGATTTGAATCAGCCAAGATTTAAAACAGGGCTATTGAAGGGATTTAACAAAGGTAAGCCACTGCCAACATTGATTTAATTTTCCCTGGAATCATTAATTACAGTATTCATCATTTCAGAGTGTGCAATATAAGCAAGTTATTTCACAAAGTATCTTCCACACAAACCTTCTTGTATTAAAAACCGGTAAAGAAATCATCTAAAAAGTTTCTTGGGACTGCTCCTTCAGTGCAATTTCACTAATTACTATCGCGAGAGTCATCACCTGTCCATTCTCTTTACATGTCTAACTAATACAAGTAGACATATTAACGAAAGCATACTAGTGTTTGCTCATTATATTACAAATGTAATGTCTGTGGAAGAAATCTGTGCTAATTCCTCAAAGCAAAGATAGGAAAACATAGTCAATGCTTGCAAAACAATCAAGGTATATTAAAATGAAAGTATATAAACATGACATTGCCATGAATGTTATCTCATTTTTCTAAAGGGTTGAGTTGGTGAATAATTAATTTTACCATATGTCAAGCAAAGTGCTAGAGAAAAATCTTCCCACATGAATCTGTGAATGAACCCAGGCTATATATAAAAGTGCTTGCGGAAAGCATACTGGGGGGCGGCGGGGGTAAGCAGATCAACTTTTATTAGACCTTTAGAAGAGAAAATGGGATGCACCCAGACTGACACACAACAAAATATCTCTGAAGCTCAGCGTTGGAAACTCTAAGAGTCCTGAAAGTATAAGTGACACAGAATGTGAGTATGAACAAAACAAAAATCCTTTAACATAGGAAAGCTATAACGTTTAGACAAAAATGGAAATCCTTCACACTAAGTTAACCACTGCTGCAATTATACTTTAAATGAGATCCAGGATCTTTTGCTGTAATGGAATTTTATAGCAATCAGATTGCTCAAAAAAATGTCAAGTTCCCTAAATAATACAAAAGAAACATTTTTAAATTCAGACTATAATTATGGTTTTTTTCCAATTCACAAGGCACCAAAAGTACTATTTCTTCTTTATTAATGTTTAAGTTTGAGGGAATGATGTGGAATATGTTTGCCATGTCTTTTTCCTGTGAAAATCTCTATTTTTTCCTCTGGAAAGAAAAAAAAATCTTTTTGACTGATGAGTATGGTTGCCTAATTCATTAAAACTATCAGTGAGAAGCACCATGTGCTACGAGTGAGAAATGGGCATCGACACACACTCAGGGCAAGACTTTTCAAATAAGGAACACTCATTACAAGGGCAAACACCAGGAGGAAAAGGTATTTGAAGTACCCATAATAGATAACTTCATTTTACTTTAAAGAACGTCGCATCACCACTACAAAGAGTTATAAAAAGTGGAGCTTCTCTCATTAAACACTGTTATCACTTTATTTGCTTTGGGGAAAAGCATGTGCTTATTAGTGAAATGTTATCATTTAAATATCATAATCCATCTAGCAAATGACCAAAATATAAATCAAAAAAGCATGGTAGAACGGAAATCATTGAATTTCTTGGGGTCTTAACTATAAAACCAGGAAGGTAAGTATACTTGCCCATCAACTTTACAAGGTTGTTGTGAATAACAAATATGATACATGAGAAGCAGATCAACCCGTCCACTGCTATATGATGCTTTTATTTTCCTTAAATTAGGTAATATTCATGAAACTTAATGACTAGCCTAACTAGTCCCTAAAGAAAATGATTTCATTTATAGGTTATACAGAATATGGATTAATTTTAAAATAAATTATTGTGCCACTTAATGGTAACATCTTCTGGTCAAAATGTTTCAGTTTGGGCTACCTGAGCCTAACAAACCCATCTGATACGATCAATACACAAATCACCAAACACGGATTTATACTGATGAAAATACAAAATAGTAACGACCATTCCTACCTACTGTAAAACAATGTGGTGCTCTTCTGAAATAAATCTCAATGTTCTACAATCTAAATAAATGATATTGTAAAAATCCATAGTAAGAATTGATTTCACTGGTTTTAAATTCAGTAGAATACACGAAATAACTACTTACTCTTGGCAACAGAGTTTTGAAGACCTGCAGATGACGTGGCCATTTGTTTGTGTACACTGGAAGCCTCCTGTTCAAGTTTTTCAGTAGATGCAGAACACTTATGGGCTGAGAAAAAATACAGTATTTACTGTGCTTGTATTTAAAGAAAGCATCATTAGCTGAAACACGATGAGTCTGCGATGTAGTTCTATGGCACGTAAATGTGCAGTAATTAGGTACACAATGTTCATTATCAGTCATGTCTTACAAACCATATAAATTCCACTTATGTTGTATGAAATTGTGTAGAATTACGTTCACACACAGGAAAATTTACAGTACATGCATAATAAACAGGGCAGGCAATTTATTTTTAAAATATGCATTGGATAAAGCTGTGTAAAGCTTACTAATTGTTAATCATTTTTATACTGATAAGTTTAAGTGGTAAGATTTTGGATATACTGGATAAATAATGTGTAAAGCTTATTAATTAATTATTAACAATTTTTATACTGATTACAAGTTTAAACGGTAAGATTTTTGGATATATTGGATAAAATAAAATTATAGGGGCCAGCCCTGCGGCCTAGCGGTTAAGCACAGGTGCTCCACTTTGGCGGCCCAGGTTTGCAGGTTCTGATCCTGGGCGCAGACCTAGACCACTCGTCAGCTATGTTGTGTTGGCGACCCACATACAAAATGGAGGAAGACTGGCAATGGGATGATAGCTCAGGGCTAATCTTCCTCAAGCAAAAATTATAAAATGTCACTTGTTTCTTCTGCAATCTCACATGACACAAATGTAAATGTCAACTGACTGTGCATGCAAAGAATACATGGCAGCATTTTCATTTAAGGGACAAAGCTCAAAACCTTGTCGTAAATGCAACCTTATACTAACAGTCAATATTTAAATATGAACATGAGTGAACTTGAAGTTTAACAGTTGCATTGATTACCAGTTTTACTCTCAGAGTTCATCGTCATAGAGCCTTCCCACGACCATCTTTTTTGACGATTATCCACTCGGTTGCTGCGTTCCAATGTACGATAAAGAACAGCTTTGAATTTCTCCTATTTAAAATAAATGGCAACAAATTATCACACATTCATTACATTGGTTAGTATAATTTTGATCTGTGGGTAATAAAACAACCCCATCACCATATTTTTGTATCAGGCAAAATTTTTTTTGTACCTGGTAAAATTTTAAAAGAATTGGAGCCATGTCTCAGGTAGCAATCACTATCAGCGCTTCTCCTGAATAACCCAGGTTTTATCTTACGGACCTGAATCGAGGAACTGACCATGAGGCTCCCCTCTTTGCTTATCTCATTAGGAAATTTAGGACCAAATCTGCAGCCTATTTCTAGCAACTATTCAAAGACTCAGTGGTACACTTTGTGTATGCTAATCATACCTTATATTTTATTATCTTCCTACTTTAATTTTCCCCTCTGCTTGATTCCCTCAACCATTTATCTTATCATCTGGTTCTGGTATGTGTTTTTTAAAATACACCTTAAATTCTTTGCAGAATGAGGCAGGAAAAAAATCAACGAACATACATATAACTGAAATCTATGCCAGAGTTACCTATTATACCCACAATGTAGCATCTGGAATTCTGGTGTCAACTGATAAAGTTTTAAGAAAGATAATCGATCTGTTTGTCTCGGACTAACTTCAATTTAAACTGCTCATGATGACAGCTATACAATGTCAATGCCACAGTGGCAAAACAACTCCACTGCAGAGAAATGAGTGGCAGTTTTCCTTTTGAAGGCATTTCTCAGCCCTGTGCGGCAACAAACCACGGACTCTATCAGCTAAGCAAATCAACTTCAAGGCCAGAAGGTTTTCCAGTCTTTCCTGACAACCGTTCCATAGCAACATCGCCCTTACAGTGTCCCCCCCCATTTCTCTGAGGGCAAACATACCGGGTAAACATACTGGAAAGGTGGAGAGTCATCCACACCCTCTGAGGAGGAAAGCAACTGCAATCCTTAAAATAAAATGTTCTCTAATGGCAATATTTTAAAAGTATATTTTCTAACAGAAAGTAAGTTGTTCTAAATTACTTATAAACCCAGAAAGCATAATAAAGACTAAAAACAGATGTTCACCTTGTCTTATTAAAGCATTTCAGATTCATAAGAATTTCCCAATGCACGGGACCCTCTGTGCCGTCAGGCTCCTTCCTGCGGCTCATATGTAAGCCACTGTCCTGGCTCAATGCATCTCCTGTCCACACTCGCCCCTCCTCCGCACCCGAGTTTGGGTTTTTTCCCTGCTCTATGGAATTATTCTTTTTTCCTACGTGCAGCCTACTCACAGTGTCCCTGATCCCTGCTCCGCCTGGGGCTCCCCTACACGAACCCTCTGGGGTTGATTCCCTCTTGCCCTCTCTCCTTGTCTTTCTGCCTCTTCCCCCACCACGTCTCTGGTTCCCCTTGGGTCTGCACTGTCATTTTGTTACATTCTCTTCTTTTGTCTGCGTTCGCCCTTTCAGGTTCCTCTTTCTCTAAGATGCGCTTTTTTTCCCTCAGTCCCTGGAACTGCCTCTCTCCACCAGGGACCCTCCCCCACTCTGCACACATAAGTTTTCTATTTTACTTTCCCTGGTTCTCTGTCTTAGCGCATTCTCTCTCTCTGGTCTTCATTCTCTTTACCACAGATAAGTAAATTAAGAAAATGTTTCACAGAGGAAGACAGAGAGTGATCGAAATTCTGAATGAGAGTCCATCAAATACTCAATGTGAAAGAGCATAAACAACCACAGCAAAAGGCTCAGAAAGACAGAAAGTGGTAGTGGACCATGGACGGGAAAGAACTGGAAGAGCCTCAGATGGATGCAGGGGCTGGGGCTGGGGCACGCTCAAGAGCAACTGTGTGCACAAGTAAGGAGGAAAAGTGAGCACCACAGAGAAAGATGCAGAGAAGGTGGCTCATGGGGAGAAATGGAAGAAAAGAGAAAAGGAGAGAAAAAGAAATTTAAAAATGAGAGAAACAGAAAAAAAGAGAGGCAGATTAAAACACACACACTGAGAGAACAAAAGGCAGAAAGTCCAAAGATGGGGAGAGGGAAACAGAGAGAAGCTAAGACAAAGAAAGCAGAAAGAACAGTGAGGTGCCTCAGGTAGGAAAAAGTCAGAGTCAGAAAGAACCAGAAGACAGAATAAGACATTTATGGACACTTGAGAGTCACAGAAATACAGAAAAAGAGAGAATGCCTGTGGGAAAGAGAATGGTGTCACAGAGAACATGCCAATTTCAGAAGAAGGAGTCAAGGACACTGAGGATGAAGCAGTGGAATGACCTACAGAGCTGCCAGAGAGAATCATACAGAATGCGACAGGGAGCCAGATGCCCAAGCATAAACAAAAAAAGACAAACTGACTGAAGAGGGACAGAAGGGAAAGAGAGAGCCTACCACAGAGTGCCAAAGACACCAAAAAAGAGTCTGGAAAGGAAAAGAGAGCGGCAGGGCCACAAAACAACAGAGAAAGAAAGCGAAGGTGAGGAACAAGAGGGAGAGGAGAGAGCCAGCACACACGAGGAGCAGCCAGGGAATGAGGTCAGGGAGAGTGAGAGCTCGGATTGGGTAGGGTGGGAGTCAGTCAGCAGTTAGAGGAGTCGTGGGAAGTAAGCCAGGCAGATGGGAGCCTATCACAGAGGGCCTGACGCAGCTGGGAGAATTCCAGGCAATGGGACAACACCTAAGGCTTTTTGGTAGGATAGAGAGCCACTCGGAGGAAACCCCAGGCCACAGGCACCTTGTGTGCCAAGTCCTGAAGGTAGAGAGGGCTCTCTTCTTGGATGTGCAAGGCTTCTCTTCACCTCAGCTGCCGAGTCTACACTCAGGGATCTGATCAGGACAGGGCCAAGAGCCTCAGATGTGGGAGGGAAGAAAGGAAGAATTGGGATTCGGTCCCCTTTCCACAGGTTGGACTAGCAAAGGCAGACAAGGGCTAAGAAAAAAGTATTCTAGACCCAGGCAGTATTGTATCATCTGATTAAGAGGCTAGAAAAATAGGTACCCTTTCTTCCTCCAATTTTTGTTTTCTTTTTTCTTCTGCAGATACTCTCCGCTGTTCATCCTTTTCTTTTTGTTCTCTCAGCTTTCGTTGCTTTTCTTCCATCTGTTTTTCATAGTAGATCTTGGACTTTCTTTCTTTTTCAAGTAGTTGTATTTCTTTATTAGCTGAAATATTCCACATACAAGGTGTGAGAGCCAAGGAAATATTTAAGTTTTCCACATTACACACAGAGAAGGAAAAAGTTGACACAGCTCATTCTCTTTCTTAAAAATAATATAACCTGTGCTAATAACTAAAGACTTATTATATAAGTGAAGAGATGGCCACCGCAGAATCATTTTCACTGGGTGTTCATTTAACTCGAGAACTGAATTGGCATAGATGTCTCTCATCCTGTCTGAACTAAAATTCCAAATTAAGAAGAAATATTTTCTCTCATGTGATGTTTCTGTCGATCTGAGGTGAAGTCAAACCTCACCAGGTTAACACGCTGTACATTAAAGAATTTAAAAGACCACATGGGCAGAATCTATCTTCTTTTTTCCCTTCTACTAGGAACCTTCTTTCAAAGGCCTCATCCATACAGACCATTATTAGGCATGCCCGTTTTACATTCCTGAGCTTCGTTCCATACCACATTACCGGAACAGCATGAAGTTTTTCTGTATTCAGATGGCCCCTCACTAAAGCCTGGAGAGCATCTATGCAGTTGTAAAATGCTCTCCTAAAGAGCTACAGGAAGAACCAGCTCCTCGCCAAAACAAAGACAGTGATTTTCCATTTGAATGAGGTTCAGCACCAGTTCTCTGACTGGATTCAGAATCCCAGAGGAGAACAATGCATGGTTGTAAAAGCATTCTCTCCAGGTGTAGAGAGATTCTTCTTTTAGATCCTAATTGATACAAAGTTATCCTAGAGAAACACAGCAGTCAGTGAAAGATACTGCATCTGTTACGATTATTAGCACTGTCATTGCCATTTTTAGAATCATTTTTACTGAAAGCCCATTCTGCTCGTTTCCACAAATGTTCAAGAAGTTTTCATACCTTAATTTTCAGAAAATTAAAGCTAACAGAAACTACTGCTTCAAAACTTAAACAATTTAATCAAATATTTTTCACAGGCCATCTTTACCTGATTTAGTATCGCATTTAATCCAATATAATACATACTATAAAAAGTATAATCTATCATATAAACAGATTAGGAAAAGTAAAACCACTTGGGAAATATATAACCTTAACATAAAATTCATTCGATTTTTTTAAAAAGTCTAAAATATACCATCTTGTCTTTTCTTCTCTTCCCTGCGTTCTTTCGCTAACCTTTGTTTTACATCATTTTTAAGCACAGATCCATCTATTACTGAAAAAAAGAGAATAGAGTTAGATATTAATAGGATATCAAATTTTAATAATATGACACTTTGACATCTATCAACACATTCTAGAAGTTATACCTGGTTTAAATGTTGATCTTATATTTGAGGATTGGGACGGAAGAGAGCTAAGGCCACTCTGATTCCGTCTTTCTTCAGCAATGGCGTGAGCAGCAGCAACTAAAATACAGGGAGATAAAGAAAAGGTATACAATATTAAGAATGTAAACAGCTAATACAGGGGGCGGCAATATACAATGTATCTTTGATGATAAAGGACAGCATCTCTGCTATAAGGCAAAATCATGACAGATTAATCTGGGTCAACAAAGACATACTGAGTATCTACTATGTTCAGTAATAATTTGACAAAGAAAAGTGTTTACTGTGGATGTTCCAGCATATCTGTGGACATTAAGAGTCCTTAGTGGGAGTAGCAGCACAAGTTTGTAGATGAGTAGGAGCTAATGATTAATAGCTTCAAAAATGCCTCAGACAAGACATTACACCAAGTACAAGAAAAACTGAGCTGGCAAGGAATTGGAAAAAATGTTTCGCCACAAACTGGGAATTTAGAAAAGATTTGGAGTTATGGATCTGAATTTGGAAGCAAAAGTGTCAACAGTGACATCCAGAGCTTGGGCCCAATATTAAGGAGTACATTCATAAATTACCTAGCCCAGGGGCTTTCTATCCCGGATGCAGACTAGAGGCGCCTAAATCGCTTCAAAAAAATTAGCAATGCCTGCCCCTCCCTGCCCCCACTCTCCGAGGGTGGGGCCCAGGCCTTTTGCAGTTGCTAAAAGCTCTATTTGGATGCACAGTGAAGGTGGAAAACCACTCAAGGCATTTCCAATGACAGGGGATTATTGTGGGGAGAAAAACGTCAAGCAAACAAGCATAAATTATACAATATAAATTTACACGTCTTGTGTAAACAAGGCAGAAAAGTGGTAAATAAACTTCAATAAGATTTAAATATAAGTTTAGGGGAACGCAAGTTGAGAGAAAGTAAGAAAAACTAAAATTCCAGGATGATACACATATGAGTTATTATAGGGGATTCCCTGAACCCTTTAATTCCAAGTATGGCTGTATCTAAAAAGCCCCACAATGCTGGGCATCTTCAGGAAGGATCTGAAGAATAACACTGAAAACTGTCTTCTACCCTTGTATAAAAGCACAGGAAATACGCCCCTGCGATACCGCATACAATTCTGGTTTCTATATCTCAAGAAAAACATATCAGTTAAAGACGGGTAAGTAAAATAATTAAGGGATTGGGGCCAGCCCGGTGGTGCAGCGGTCAAGTTTGCACGTTCCGCTTCTCAGCGGCCTGGGGTTCGCCAGTTCGGATCCCAGGTGAGGACATGGCACCGCTTGGCAAAAGCCATGCTGTGGTAGGCATCCCACATGTAAAAGTAGAGGAAGATGGGCACGGACGTTAGCTCAGGGCCAGTCTTCCTCAGCAAAAAGAGGAGGATTGGCAGTAGTTATCTTAGGGCTAATATTCCTCAAAAAAAAAAATTAAGGGATTAGAGGTGCTGTTGTACTCATAGAATGAATGGACTCTGAGCGTTAGTTGTTACTGAGGAAAGATGGCCAGGAGTCATTTTACAGAGTAACCTTGACAGTGACATCACAATTGCTGCCATAAGGTTCGCCATTTCAAAAGGAAAAAAGGACTTTTTTTTACTGCAGAGAACTGACAGCTCAGATAATCCATGACCTAGCTAAATTTGAAGATTAGAGTTTTCTCAGCTTCCTTAATAATTCATCTACTGGCAATTTTGTGGACCACCAATTGTCCTCTGAACTTGAGTACTAGTGTATTAAGAAAAATTCCTAAATATAGTCTATAAATTAATTAAACCCTCCTACATACACCCCTCCCACTCACAACATTTCTATGTGAGCACAAAGAAAACAACAGTTGTTTTTGCACATTCGGTTTTCCTACTTAGAAGTCCTAAGGAAAGTCCATTATTTTGGCACAAGTTAGCTGACCATAAGGACAATTTCTCTCAAAATGCATAATTTTACCAGATTTAAAGGTTCTACTAAACAGAAGTAACCTTATAAGTAGCTGTAGTGGGAATAATGAACCAAATCATATAAAGGTTAAAGTGGTCATAATAACAAGTCTGATTTTTAGAACTTTATATCCAAATTCCTACTGGCAAGAAATACATTCACCAACAGGACAGGCTCTAAAAATTATTTAAGATGCCCAGGCAACGGGGGAAAGCTTTTATGTCTGACCCTAACAAAGTGGCCATCTTCTTCAACTCCACTGAATGACGGAATTTACTGAGCATTCATTTGAAAGTAAGAGTGAGCTGCAGTAAGTGTACTACAGTATTTCTGTAGTTGTTTTACTAATTCTGAATCTCAAATTAAAGTTAAAAGTTACCTTTTGCCCGGAGATTAAATACGAAAATGTGTAGAGTTTCTAAATAAAACTGAATTATGAACCTTAATCTATATTTATGGTACTTTCCTGAAAACTGCCATAACATATAACATGTATCACTTCACCGCTTACGAAGTTCTTTTCATTTGTATTAACTCATTAAGGTCTCATAACAGTTCCATAAAGTGGATATTATTTATTATTATCCCCCCCCCTTTTTTTTTTTACAGATGAGAAAACTGAAGCTAAACACTGCTTTCCCAGGTCACACAGGTAGTACCCGGTGAAGCCAGAACTTGATTCACTGGTAGATTAAGAAGCAACTTTACTTTGAAATATTACATAATTATCAAGAACCAGACTGCACAAAACCCACTTTAACTCTTATAGGACTTAATTCATTATTCCCACCTCAGCTACTTCTAAATTTACTTCTGTTTAAAATATCACAAAGAAGGAATCAAGGTCTAAAAGCACAAAGTTGACTCAACAATAAATAAATGAAATATATGGGTTTTGCTTTAAAATATACTTTGAAAATACAGCAACGTAAAAATTTTTAAATAAAGTATTTACCATTTTTTTAAAGAAAACACTACTATGCCATGGCTACGGAAGGCCTAAGTTTAGAGAAAATGTGTAAGACATTGTAAGAAGAAAAGCCTTCTCCTATGAGGGGAAAACTTACAAATTCAATCATCCTGGTTATCTAGCCCAATAAAAGCCTCAGAATGAAATGAACAAAAGCAGGGGCCAACTACGATGCCAAAGTTAAGGAATGCTTTACATTTAAGAGATTTTTGGGGGGCCAGCCCCGTGGCCAAGTGGTTAAGTTTGCTCGCTCTGCTTTAGCGGCCCAGAGTTTCACCAGTTCAAATCCTGGGCGCGGACATGGCACCGCTCATCAAGCCTTGCTGAGGTGGCGTCCCACATGCCCCAACTAGAAGGACCCACAACTAAAAGTACACAAGTATGTATTGGGCGGCTTTGGGGAGAAAAAGGAAAAATAAAATCTTTAAAAAAAGAAGATTTTTTTTAAAAAAAGTCACTGAAATTTTGAGGCTGCTTTGGGACATAAAGCATTTTAGCTCATTACTGACTTCAACATAGTGTAAAATTTCTACCTCTCCCGGTCCCCACCTTCTCCAAAACACACACACACCCCCAATCTGTGTCACTAGAGCTCCACTCCACTAGGGCAAGCTAAATGTTGAAGAACACTTCTCCATGACAAGTAGTTCAAGAATAATAATCTTCCTAAGGCTGCGCCAAGCACAATCACCCCAAAATGCTAATCTCACGATAAATACTCTTCCCAATACTTCAGCAACTCTATCTTGTCTGCCCCGGCTGTTGCTCTTGAAATCACTCTCAGAATTCCACATTGAATCTGTAGTCCCAGCTCTCCATGACCTTTCTTCCCCAAGATCCTTTCTCCTGTACTCAGAAATATTAGATCGCATAAACTACTATTTTCATTAAGTAGCAAAGGGCGTAGATTGCAAAAAATGATTGAAAGGTTTTATTATTAGAAAAAGGGCTATGGTTGTGGCAGAGAACAATTATACTATGAAATCAACTGTGGCAGATTTATAGATTTAGTGTTACTCACTGTTATTTGGATAACAGAAGAAAGAGGAAATTGCCACAAGGTCCTGTCTTGAGCTGCTGGGTGTAGTGCTGCGAAGTGCCCGCTGGGGGGCCTGGCAGCCTCTTCCAGCAGCCCAATAGCTGACCTTTCCCACAGCTGCTGGCCCTGTCCTGGATCCACCCTCATTCAAAGGAGAGCAGTTGGGGGTAGCGTGGTCCCTGGCAGATCCATTCCACCCATACCAAGGATCTCTCTTCATGGCCTTATGTCGGTTTGCCCGTCATTAGGCCAGGGAGAGGGCAAGAAAGCATTAAGAAAAAAGAAGAAAGCAAAGAAATCTGCAATCAGGGAACCACAAAAATAAGGCAGATTCACAGAGTTTTGCCTAAAAAAGCAACAAAGTCAAAGGGCTGAGAGAAAGTTCTGGAAAACCCCTAAACCCAATCCAAAGATACCGTGTCTTGAAGAAAATGAGAGACACTTTCCCACCATTTACAGCTGTCTATAATGGAATGGCTACTTGGAAAAATATTAAGCTCCCCATTAGAGCACATATTCAAGTTGCAGAAGCTGCCCAGGATTTTACAGCTGGGACTCTGGATGCTAGACTGAATAATCTTTAGGTTTCTCCAGCTCTAAAATTCTATGATGATCTGGCTGTCAATCTTAGTACCTTTATCTGCATTTGCTGGCACGTATTGTTTGAATAATTTATTCTAAACCGAGAAAGGATTTGCGAATTTAGAAAAACAAGGGAAAGGTGACGAGTCAGGAGCGGCATTTCTTATGCTCTTCTGGTTGAAATAGTCACATAAACTTTTATTTTACAACAATTCGGTATAAAAATACAAAACACCTTTTGTTAAAATAAGTGTACTTCTTTGGTACACTACAATCTTAGCACAGCGCCATGCACAGAAAACATAACAATGAAGGTATATAATAAATATATGTAGATTGCAGTGTGCGCCTAAGGAAGGTACTTATTCAGGACAGTGTTTTAACTCTTGCAGCCAGGCTCCCAGGAGATGAAACTGAGCAGATTAATAGATTAAGTGCTGCTCACTGTTACCTAGATAGCAGAATAAAAAGAAGCAATTGCCACAAAGTGGCATTTCATCTGCCACAAAGTGGGCAAAACATTTCATTGACTCCTTCTCCCCTTCAGGAAAACGTTGAGACCGTGAGGGCAGTTCTAGTCAAGCTGGTGCTCTGTGAAAGTCTAACAGGTGACATTTTCAGTTCCTAACACGAAATGGGCAGCAGGGACGTCAAGAAGCATTCTGGGTTAAGCCTTTTTTGCATGGCTTTAAGTTTTTGGTTTGAAACACTGTGGATTCCAGCAGCTGTCCCATACAAAATTTTAAGATACTTGTCAACATTCAAAATACAAATGCTTTTGGGGGTTATCCAGAATGCTGGTTAATTTAAACCACTGAAATAAACCAAAATCAGAGAGCCTTAGGTGTCAATAAGCAATAAAACGACCTTCATTAATTGCAGACTCTGTCTCTAGGTGAACCGTCACAAGGTAGAGAGACAGAAAAAAAAAGTTTTTCTCCCTATGAAATGATCAAAGTGTATTGGTTTCTGACACATTCTTTGGGGAGTTGATTCAAAGCATTCTTAAGTAACATACAGCCTCTCAATTGCAGCCAATCTAATTTTTCAACTGCAAATGAAAAAATCTCTAAAGATTTCAATAAGATGATTTTATTCAAGCTCATATAGGAGGAAACTACCCTGAGAACAAGCTAAAAGCAACCTCCCACAAGCAAGAAATACATACTATGTCCCTCAGGTAGTGGGGCAATCTCCTGGGCTAAGCAATGCGCCGCCCAATTTTACAAAATTAACAATTTTAGGGGAAAATAGCTTTGGGCGATGGGATCAGTTTAGGAGACACCACTCTGAAGTGCTGATTCCCGTGCAGCTCAGCCTAGGGTCTGTAAGATGTCCCACGGAAGGTGACATCTTGGCGAAGTCATGTGCTACAGCAGGCAAATCAGGAGGCGCAGAGAGCTAAGTTTTACCCCAACTTTCAAAGCCACGGACTCCCAAGGCGCCCTCCTCACTCGACCTTGAGCAGGAGGGCGCGGAAGGGAAGCCTTTGGGAAAGAGGAGCGTTGCGATCGTGGGAGTGGAGGAAAGCGCGAGCGCCCCGGGCAGAATCCCCCCCGCTCCGCGCCTGGAAGGGCTGCCCCGCCTCGGGGGCGGTCCCCGCGCGGGCTCGCGGCGGGCGCCCGCACATCCCGGGCAGCGGAGCGTCCGTTCCGGCGGCTGCGCGGGCGGCCACCGCCCCCAACGCCAGGCGGGGCTCGGGGCGTCCGCGGGGACAGGGGTTCCAGGCCCCCCCCGCCCCAGCAGCGCCCGTTAGTTCTCTCGCGCCCCGCCTGCGGGGTTCGCCCGTTGGTGGCAGTTGGGTCGTTGGCGGCGCTGGCCGGCCGTTTCCCCTCCCGCCCCAATCCCCAAACGGCTACCCATCCCGTCCCAGGGGGTGAGGGGAGGACCGGACGGCGCGGGGCGACTCCGGAGCAAAGTTTCCTGGCGCCCGCCGCGCTGCTCCAACGGTCCCCAGGGCCCCGGGAAGCCCGCCCCCCAGCGCGACCCTGAGCCCCCCGGGAGCTGCCGGCCCGCTCACCCATCCGTTTCCGCAGCCCCTTCAAGGATGTGCTGCCGCCGGCGCCGGCGCCGGCGCGGTCCGCCATCTTCCGAACAGCCGAGCCCAGAGCCGCTGGCAGCGCTGGGGGCCCAGTGCGCAGGCTCCGGCGAGGCCGCCGCTGCGATCGTGGCCGCGGCGCCCGGGGGCGGGGCGGGGCGGGGCCCAGGGGGCCGCCCCACCCTCCTTGGACCCTCAAAGTCGGCAGCGTAGCTCTCCACGCACCACGTCGAAACGGGCGGGACCGCGACCACCTTGTCTAAAGCAACTCTCTCCTACGTTCCAGGCCTCCCCCCCATCCCAGGGGCCAGCCAATCATCACCCGGCTTGCGCATCCAGCGTTCCTTTTTCTCTGACCTCGCTTCTCCCTGGGAACCAGCAACGTTCGTTCCTCTATTGATTCATTCACTCACTTAGCATTTACTGAGTGCCTCCTGGGTGCACTTGTATCATGAATTTGCTAGTCTTTGAAACACTACAGAAAGAAAGGCCCAACTTGGGGGAAGAGGCCCGGGGAGAGGTCCGGAGAGAGAGAGGTTTCTGGAAGGTGCTAGGGGCCCGATCATGAGTAGAGTCTTTCTGAAATTGTTGCAGAATAAATCATGACACTTAGGTCTCAAAGTGTTGCGAGTTGTTTTTAGGGTGTTTGTGGGTCTGTAAAGTGAAGGAGAGGATTTCCTGGCATTAATCTCCCCAGATTTTGGAGGGGCCCTTCGAGGTTGCAGAATGTTTTCCCCATTCACAAGGAAAAACGTAACTGGCCTGAGGCGCCTTTGATGGGGGACATCCCTTCAGGAGTGCTTGCCTTTTCGGAGCGGAGTCAGCCCGTCCTTAGTGCGGCGTGCAGTTTCTGGATGGGGCCGTAGCCATGGTGGGGAGACTCCTTGTGGGACGAGCACTTTGAGGAGCCCCTGTGTCTGAATATTACATGGGAGCTGTAAAACGGAAGAAGCTAAATAACAGCAAACACTGACTCTTACTATTGCCAGGCGCTGTTCTAACTGCATTATATATTAACTCATTTTATCCCCCTACTACCTATGAGGTAGGTACCACTAACACCCTTATTTTATGGATGAGGAAACTAAAGCAGAGAGAGGTTAAATAATTTATCCAGAGTCACATGGTTAGTAAGTAACAGAACTGGGATTTGAACCCCAAACATCTAACCACTGTGTCTATGTGCTTAGCCTTATGTGATACTGTTTCCCGAGAGTTGAGATATATACATAATTGATAAATTAGTATCCAGAATGCATAAAGATCTAAAAATACATAAGAAAAGGACAACCTCCAGGGGCGCTCGGGTGGCATAGTGGTTAAGTTCCTGAGCTCCACTTCTGTGGCCTGGGGTCTGCTGGTTCGGATCACGGGGTGGACCTACACACCACTCGTCAAGCTATGCTGTGCTGGTGTCCCACATATAAAATAGAGGAACACTGGCACAGATGTTAGCCCAGTGACAATCTTCCTCAAGCAAAAAAAGAGAAAAAAAGGACAACCTCCAAAAGTGAACAAAAGGGGCCTGCCCCGTGACCGAGTGGTTAAGTTCACGCGCTGGGCTTCAGCAGCTTCAGTGGCCCAGGCTTTCGCTGGTTCGGATCCCGGGCTGGGACCTAGCACCGCTCATCAGGCCATGCTGAGGCGGTGTCCCATATAGCACAACCAGAGGCACTCGCAACCAGAATATACAACTATGTACTGGGGGGCTTTGGGAAGAACGGAAAAAAAAGTGAGCAAAAGTCATAAGCAGGCTTTTCACAGGAAAGAAAACACAAGTGGTCAATATACATAAGAAAAGGTGCTCAAATTCTTTAGCAGTCATGAGAATACAAATGAAAACCACAAGATATCATGTTACGCCTACAGATTTAGCAACAATTAAAGAGAAGAAAATAAGTGTTGGTGAGATTGTAGATTAATACTAGTGGGGAAGAAAGTGGCATTAAAGTGCCCATTATAGCCATTCTAGCCCTGCTCCTGTGTATGTACAGAGACCACTGGCCAGGATGCTGCAAAACGTAATGTCAGGAATGATTAAAAACAAACACACGCAGGTGTTCCAGATCAGAGGAGGCTAAAGAAATCAAGCCACGCATGATCCTTGATTAGAATCTGAATTTAAAAAGTAGCTTTAAAAAAATAGCTTTAAAGGGCATTCCTTATTGGGACAATTGGGAAAATTTGAATATGAACTGTATGTTAAATAATATTGTTTGTAGCAAGGTCAAAGTTCTTGAGTGTGAGAATGTTATTGTGGGCATGCAGGAAAACGCCCTTTTTTTAAAGAAGGAAATGTTGAAGAATTTAGGGGTAAAGCATCATAATGTCTGAAACTTACTCTCAAGTAGTTCAGAGGAAAAAACTGCAAATATCACAAAAAGTTACAAACTGGTGATTCTAGATGGTTACATAGATGTTCATTTTACTATTCTTTCATCTCTTCTGTGAGTTTGAAGTTTTTCAAAATAAGAAGTTGGAGAATTTTTTTTTTTAACCTAGAAAGTTTGCCTTCAGCCTACTTGTCGGCACCACTAATTTGAAAGATCAAATTTGACTTGGAATTACATATGGGGAGGCATCCTCCAGAATCTCTTCAACATTTAGTCTCTTAAAGGCCTGAATCCGGCCCAGGTGTGTGGGGACGAGGGGCCGTAAGAGGTCTAGGAAAACTCAACACAGGCAGCATACGCTGGGAGCTGGGGGAGTAATTAAAATGTATTCCATGAGCCCAGAGGGATGAGAAGTCACTCCTGGTTGGGGTGATCAGAGAAGCCTTTGTGAAAGAACTGGCACTTCTTCTGGCCCTGAGGACCGAAAGAGGGCAATCACTCCTCATTCCAGCCCAAGGTAGCTGAGTGAGGAGATGGACCTTCTGTGGCCAGATCTTCCTGTTTTTCAAAATAAGCTGGAAATCTGGATTTTAATGTAAAATCTCTTTTTTTTTTTTTTGGAGGAAGATTAGCCCTGAGTTAACATCTGCCAATCCTCCTCTTTTTGCTGAGGAAGACTGGCCCTGAGCTAACATCCATGCCCATCTTCCTCTACTTTATCTGTGGGACACCCACCACAGCATGGCTTGTCAAGCGGTGCCATGTCCGCACCCGGGATCCAAACTGGTGAAACCCAGGCTGCCAAAGTGGAACGTGTGCACTTAACCACTGCACCACTGGGTCGGCCCCTAATGTAAAATCTCTTATTTTAAAAATGTTGACAACATTAAAAGTTTTGAGGGGCTGGCCCAGTGGTACTCATTAAGTGCACGTGCTCTGCTTCAGCAGCCAGGGGTTCTCGGGTTCGGATCCCAGGCATAGACCTACACACTCATGAAGCCATGCTGTGGCAGCATCCCACAAACAAAATACAGGAAGATGGGCACAGATGTAAGCTCAGTGAAAATCTTCCTCAAGCAAAAAGAGGAAGATTGGCAATAGGTGTTAGCTCAGGGCTAATCTTCCTCATCAAAAAAAGAGAAAGTTTTGAAAAACATGGTGCAGGGTAAATCAAATGATCAAATATCTAATCAGTGTTCAAGTTTCTAAATTGTCTCCTTTTTTATGTTTGAATAAAAATCCTAACAAGGTCTACACATGGCCTTAATTGATATGCCTTTTAAGTCTCTTTTACTCTATCAATCACCCTTAGTTCTCGCTAACATCTTTGACAGATCCTGTGAAGTTTAGGACTCATTCATTCATTCAGCAGGTAAGTCATTCAGTGGAACTTTTACTGACCACCTACTCTGTGCCTGGCAGGTTGGGGAGAGAGACAGGGAAGTAACCCTGCCCTCCACTGATTCTAAGCTAAGGATTAGACGCCAGCACCCCCTTACATGTTTCCTTGGGGCTAGGAGAGCTCCCTAAGGAGCCCCCACAAGACTGTCTGTACATTTCTCAGAAAAATGTTGGAACTGAAGGCTGCCAGCTTGGGGAGAGTGAGTCTACTCTGAAGAAAACCCAGACTCAGAGCTGGGAAAGAACCCAGGAGGCACCTCCTCGCTCCTCCCGTATTGGAAAGCGGATGTTCTCAGTGAGCAAAAGAGAACTGGAATCCTGCTCACTTTTTTTCCTACTTGGCTATTTTTTTCCCTTAAACCTGACACCCGCAGGAAAAAGACTCAGAAACCACAGTCGTAATAGGTCTAGGAATTGTCACATTTTTTTTCTATTAAACGATGAAGTCTTAAAGAGTTGAATTCGCATGTAATAAACACTTGGTGGACTTACCAAGTCTAACAAATGTGCATTTCAACTGCCAGCACGACAGCACCGTACTAGGAGTTTGAAGCTCCACAGCCATGAGATGGCTCTTCGTCTCGTTCCTGCACTACCTGTCAGATTCATCCGTCATGCACACAGCCGAGCCGGCTCTGGGTTTGTGTTCTCTCCTCTCATTTCTGCCTCTTGCCTAGCATCTGCTGCAGCTTGGCTGTGATGACGGAGGAGAGTGATGTTTCACTCTGGACTCATCTCTTGCCAAATCTACTCACATTTTCCTTTCTTTTCCCAAATCTGCGCTTTTATTCTCTCCTAAGTTACAGACTTACCTCAGGCTCTGGTCATTTCTCGCTTGGTTGCTGGCAGCCTTCCCAGCTCTGGATTCCCACTGCAGCACCGCACCCCATGCCTCCCCTAAGTGACCCTTCTGTACCCCTCCTCCCAAACCCCCTCCCCTTTGCATGAAGGACCAGGGTGACCTTGCTGTCTGTACCCTTTCCTTTTAGGGAGGCCCTGGTCTTTCCTGCGGTGGGGTGGGGTGCTGATTCTCATGACCTGAACGCACCAGGCTGGGGGCAGTGAGCTGAGGAGAGGAAGAAGAGGCCACCACAGCCAGTCTGGAGGGTATTTCCAAACCCTGAGAAACCTCAGAGGGGAAGGGTGTGGTGGGCATGGTGGCAATCTGCTTGGAGCAGTAGGTGGGTCTTGGATACTTATGGGTATATAAGAGCTGTCATTCATCCAGTGCCCCACTCCATGGCAGGCACAGTGCTAAAGGTTTTACATGGATTATTTTATATAATCCTCACCATGACCTTATGAGATAGCTTCTATTATCATCTTCATTTTACAGATGGGGAAACAGGCACAGAGAGGTTAACTAACTTGCCCCAGGTTAGCACAGCCAGGAAGTGGCAAAGCCAGGATTCACGCCCACATAGATCCAGTACTCCTTCCACTGTGACTCTCAGTTTACCAGGTGGTGAGCCCTAATCCACTCTTCATTCCTAACCCACGTCTTCCACTTCTTCACTGATCCAGTCCCTACACTCAGGCTGATACAGCGAACCTTTTCA